TTCCCTTTTCTTTGTTGAAGAGGGTCTGTGCAGTCCTTCTGCCTAGTCCGCCATCTTGCCGGAACTCTCCCATATATGTATCTTTTTTTTTTTTTAACCAACCTAGGAAGTTTCCCTCCCCTCCTCTCCCATCCCTGGTAACCAACAAAAAAGTTTCCTTCTTGTATAAATCTTTCCTTGACTTTTTACAGTAACGGATTAATACAATATTTGTCCCTCTGTGATTGACCTGTTTCACTCAGTGTAATGTCCTCTAAGTCCATGCACGTTATGCGGTGTCATAAACCAAGTGTTAAAGAATCGACTAAGTGTGATGATTGGTTTTATTCAAATTCTTACTTTCTGTGGTGCTTTAGGCACCCTTCCGTTGCACATTGCAGGGCGTGCTGAGGCCCGGCTCCGTGACAGCACTGTGACACGCACTTCACACACACATTGTCTCATCTCCTTCTGTTGTCACGATTTGCAGGGCACAGTGAGGCCTGGCTCTGTGTAGGCTCCATGGCACACACACTTCACACACACATCATCTCATCTCCTTTTGTTGTCATGGTCACCACAGGATTATCATTTCCTGTTACTTTTCTTAGTTCGTAGGTGAAGAGAGTGTTGACTCGGAAGGAGGTGTCTTACAAGATCAAGGGGTGATGAGTGGCAGAGCCAAGACTTCGGTCCAGGCCTGACACGAGGGCTTGACTTCCAGCCAGTGTGCCCAACTCTGCTGACTCTCTTTGTTAACGCTGCCTTGTGTTTCTCTGTGTTACTCTGTTCTTGTCCGTAGGGAAGACAGTACATAAAACCTCATGGGAGTTGAGTGCGCCGAGAGCTCTGCAGGAGCTTGGGTCCCGGCCGCTCATCTCTGCCAGCACCTCATCTGCAAAGAGCTGCAGGCCTCTCCCGCCATGGTTTCTGAGTCTCACTTCATTTTTCAGTGTGTCACAAGCTGACATGCTGATCTGGATTTTGCGAGAGGGCCTTTAGGAGTTAGCTGACCTTCCCCTAGCCCTCATGGAAAGAAAGTCTGCCGTCCTCGCCGCCGGTCCTGCTCCCTGCCCATCTCATCTCCCACCTGGCACAGGGCACAGCAGCTGAGCTGCAGAACGTGCTGCCACCTGCCGCGCTCACACGGGCCCCGCTCCTGTGCGGGAGACCGGAATCTTATCTCTGAGCTCTTCAGCTAATACATCCTCTCTCATCAGGGTCGTTCCAGGAAGGGAAAGGGGAGCCACCTGTGAAGTTTTTCAATGTGTCCAGTGGAGCAGACGGAGATGTCACATCGTCAGACGACTTTGACTGGCCCCGGTGAGTAGGCCCCTGGACAGGATTCAGTCATGAGACACTGCTTTCAGAAGCAAAAGATTACAGTCCTTTCCACTGACCCTTGGGCAACTCAAATCAACTGACGGTGCTGAACTTGAGAGAAGCCAGGGGAAGATGGAGGCCTTAGGCAGCATGCGTGTGTGACCATGGCTGCGGAAGGTGTGTGTCAGCTTTGGCGTTGGCCTGGCCCAGGCAGCGTATGGTTTGAAACCATGCCAGTGCTCCCAGTGTGTGGCTGGGATCAGCCGGAAGTCACAGCTTTTCCTCACATTGACGTGGTAGTGGGCTCGGGGCACATGGAGAACTTAGTTTATTCAGTACAGTATTGCATGACTATGTTAACAGTGAAGGACTCGAAGGCTGGGAATGGCAGAGGCCCTGTTTGTGCCATTTTGTGCTGTCTTTCGCTATTCCCTTCCCCCACGTCGGACCGGCTCCCTTGTGGGCTGTGTGTTATCAGTATGCACCTGTCCTGGAGCATGAGTCTTCATCCTGAGCATCAGGTCGACTACAACAAGGGAACTGAGAGGCAACCCCCACAGTAGGATGTCTGAAGTGGCTTGTACTGGTTGGTACCTGGAACCGCCTGGCACCACCGGTTTAGGGAGGAAATTGGCTTGTAGATGCAGGACAGCACGTGCTCAAGGGCTCCTCGCTGCATCGTCACAGGAGGTGGAAATGAAAATGAGAAGTCCGTGCCAAGGACATGCCGCAGAGCGGAAAGGAGCACCATGGTTCTGGAACACAGCTAACGTAGTGCAAGGCCGCCTTGTCAGGCTGCCGTCCTCAGCTGCTTTCCGATCGGCTCCTGTCTCACTGTGACCCCGTGCACAGCAGAGTGGAGCACTGCCTGGTGGTGACCTCCAGGGTTCATTGACACAACCCTGTGCGCGGCAGGAAAACACTGCCTGGCGGTGACCCCCAGGGTTCATTAATACTTGTTTTGGAAATAGATCTCCAGGCCTTTCTCCCTATCCATCTGTCTTGGTTCTCTGGTACAGATGTGACAGACATACAGGTGGGTAGCTTCCCTAGTCCATCTCTTGGTTCTCTGGTACATATATGCAGAGATACCACAGGTGGGTAGCTTCCCTAGTCCATCTGTCTTGGTTCTCTGGTACAGATGTGAGAGACATACAGGCGGGTAGCTTCCCTAGTCCATCTG